GGGGAGAACAAGGCAGCTAGAGTATTGCATATGTAGGATAAGACAGGTAAAACCTACCAAGAGTGAATCATAAATAAATAGCAATTCTGAAAAAAATAATAATGAATAGGGAGATTGAATCAGTAATCAAACACTTCTCAACAAAAAAAGCCCAGGACCTGATGGCATCACTAGTGAAATCTAAAAGATTTATAAAAGAACTAAGGCCAATCCTTCTCAAAATCTTCCAAAAAATTGAAGAGGAGAGAATGTTTCCAAATTCATTCTACAAAACCAGTATTACCCTGATACCAAAGCCAGACAAGTACACTACAAGAAAAGAAAATTACAGACTAATATCCCTGATGAACATAGGTGCAAAAATCCTCAACAAACCACTAGCAAACCAAATTCAACAGCACATTCAAAGGATCGTACACCATGACCAAGTGAGGTTTATCCCTGGGACACAAGAATGATTCAACATATACAAATCAATAAATGTGACACACCCATTAACAGAATGAGGGATAAATGTATATGATTTTCTCAATAGATGCAGAAAGAATATTTAACAAGACTCAACATATTTCATGATAAAACTCTCAACAAATCAGGTATAGAAGAAACATATCTCAACATAATAAAGGCCATATATGACAAGCCCACGGCTAACATCATACTCAATGGTGAAAAACTAAAAGCTTTTCCTCTAAGATCAGAGACAAAGATGCCCACTCTTGCCACTTCAATTGAATACATTATTGGAAGTCCTAGCCAGAACACTTAAGTAGGAAATAAAAGACACCCATATCAGAAAGAAAAAAGTAAAACTGTTTGCAGTTTACAGGACCTTATATATAGAAAATTCTAAAGACTCCATTTAAAAACTGTTAGAACTAATAAATTTGGTAAAGTTGCAGGGTACAAAATCAACATATAAAAATCAGTATATACACTATACACTAGTAACAAACTATCAAAAAAAAAAAAAACCAAAGAAAAGAATCCCATTTAAAATAGCATCAAAAATAATAAAATACTTCAAAATAAATTTAACCAAAGAGGTGAAAGATCTGTATGCTGAAAACTAATATAGATGAAAGAAATTAAAGAAAACACAAATAAATGGAAAGATTTCATGTTCATGGACTAAAAGAAGTTTCATTAAAATGTCCATACATCCAAAGCAATCTACAGATTAAACACAATCCCTACCAAAATCCCAGAGATATTTTTCACAAAAATTAGAAAAATCCTAAAATTCATATGAAGCCATAAAACACCCTGGACAGCAAAAGCAATTGTGAGAAAGAACAAAGCTGAAGGCATCACACTTCCTTACTTCAAACTATATTACAAAGCTATAGTAATCAAAACAGTATTGTACTATCATAAAAAGAGACACATAAACCAACAGAACAAAACTGAAAGCCCAGAAATAAAACCAAGCATATACTATCAAGTGATCTTTGACAAGAGCACCAAGAATATACAAGGGGAACAGGATAGTCTCTTCAATAAACTGTTGGGGAAAACTGGATATACACATGAAAGAGAATGAAACAGGACCCTTACTTTACACCATACACAAAAATTAACTGAAAATGGATTAAAGACTTAAGTGTAAGACGTATATCTATAAAACTCCTTGAAGAAAACACAGGGTAAAAGCTACTTGACACTGGACTTGCAAAGATCTTTCGGATATGACATCAAAAGCACAGGCAACAAAAGCAACAATAAACAAGTGAGACTACATTAAAAAAAAAAACTTATGCACAGAAAAGGAAACAAATCAGCAAAATAAAAAGGCAACCTATACAACAGGAGAAAATATTTGCAAATTGTATACCCAATAAAGGGTTAATATCCAAAATATATAAGGAACTAATATAACTCAACAGGGGAAAGAAAAGAAAAGAAAAATAGCTTAATTTAAAAACGTACAAAGGACCAGGAGCAGAACATTTTTCCACTAAAGACACACAAATGGTCAATAGATACATGAAAAGGTGCTCAACATCACTAATCATCAAGTAAATGCAAATCAAAACCACAATGAAATATTACCTCTCACCTGTTAGGATGGCTATTACCAAAAAAGACAAAAGATAACAAGTACTGGCAAAAATGTGGAGAAAAGGGAACCCTTGTACATTGTTAGTGGGAATGTAAATTAGGACAGACCTTAAGGAAAACAGTATGGAGGCTCTTCAAAAAATTAAAAATAGAATTGCCATATGATCTAGCAATTAATCCCTCTTCTAGGTATATACCTAAAGGAAATAAAATCAGTGTGTCGAAGAGATATCTGCATTCTCATGTTCATTAGAGCATTATTTACAGTAGCCAAGATATAGAAACAATCTGTCTGTCAATAGATGAATGGATAAGGGAATATATATTTATATGTATGTATATATGCACCATAGAATATTATTCAGCCATAAAAAAGAAATCCTGCCATTGTATACAACATGGATGAATCTAGATGACATTATACTAAGTGAAAAAGCCAAGCACAGAAAAACAAATACTGCATGATCTCACTTTATATGTGAAATCTAAAAAAGTCCAACTCGTAGGTGAGTAGAATGGTGATTGCCAAGAACTGGAGGGTGGAAAAAATAGGGAGATGTTAGTCAAAGGGAATGAAGTTTCAACTGTGCAGGATGAAGAAGTTCTGGAGCTCTAATGTACAGCACAGTAACTACAGTTAATAATATATCGTATACTTGAAATTTATTAAGGGTAGATCGTAAGTGTTCTCACCACACCCAAAAAAATAGTAACTATGTAAGGTGACAAATATGTTAATTAGCTTGATCATTTCACAATGTAAACAAAGCATCATGTGGTATACTGTAAACATATACAATTTTTTGTAAAAAAAAAATTAAGTAATTATATTGGAAAATTTAATAATAAAAAAAACATATGTGTAATTGGAAACTTCTAAGGAGACAGAGGGAGAGACAGGAAAAGTATTTGAAGAAGTAATGGCTGAAATTTTTCAAAACTTGATAAAAATTAAAACCCCACAGATCCAAGAAGATCAATGAACCCAGGGACAAGAAGCATGGGGAAAAAAAGTTACCATATTTGTGTCAAACAGCCTTGGGACATTCAAATATTTCATAATGATAATATAATGACTTTCAAAAACTGGTTACATACATAAAACCCCATCAATCTATAACTTATTATTATGAGTTCTCAGATATCTTCATTTTTCTTACAGAATTTAAATTTTTTCCCCTGTAAATACAGCAGGAATAGACTAGTCTCCTTTCCTGCATAGTTTATGTCACAGTATCCAGAACTGCATGCATGTTCTTATCTCGTGAAGCTTTTTAAAAAACCAAAGGACTGAGATTACTTGGTGAGTCAGTTGGCGATAAATCATCTGATTTAAGTATGCCCTTCAGTCAATGTCAGGAGAATCCCACTTTCTCTACTTAGTAAAAGCCTTTCTAACAATGGAAAGGTTGAAACTTCTACACCTCTGTCATTTCAAGTATTACAAATTCTCAGATTATCAAACACTAACATAATAACCAAAATAAATCCGAAGAAAAATAAAAATATTATGTGGGAAAAAATAATTAATTAAATAAATATTTTTAAAAAGAAATAATCAGATTCAATAGTTGGAGTCTAAAGACTGGTACCAAACATGCTGAGCTGTGTTATCTCAGCATGGCCCAATCTCAGAGGTAAGAGAGCCACATGACTTACCAGGATATTACTATTGCTATTAAAAAGACTAAATATCTAAATGGGTGGCCATGAAAAAAAAAAAAAACAGAACAGGCCAGAAAAGAAATTACGTAACCTTTTCTTTCCCAATAATTTTTTTTCCAGCTTCCTAGACCCAGTGTTCTTCGATCACTTCTTTTCTTCCTGGATTTAAAGGCCAATTTTCTTGTTCTTCTGAGCAGGAACAGTAACCAGAAAGATAACTGGCCACAGTCACCTTTGTCCTTCATAAGCAAATCAACTAACCTAATGAGTTTTCTCCTACTAAAAATTAAGGGTTAAAGGAAAGAACTTCATAGTCCATTTCACTTCCAGTGCCTTGCGATCTTTCTCTATTTAGCTACTTACTTCCTTAGTGTCATCTTTATAAACTCTTTGAGTTTTACACCACATGTCCAGAGAAGATTCCTTTGTCGATTCAGCTCTAGAGGATCTTTATTAAAACAGGGCTGCCTTATTTGAAAATTTTAAAGAAAATAATGAATTACATTTAGGATCCTGGGAGAAGCTTACCTCCTTCTCTCTACCTTTTGTGTGATATTCCTGCTCTCCACCCTGCTATATCTCATTGCCTTTCCATGTCCTAGAGAAGCTGTTCTGTTATTAAAGAGCCAAATTCTCTTTGATTGGCTCCTTCAGTTTGACATTTCTTTAAAAAACAAACCCCTCTCTTTCCTTCGTGAATCCAACCAATTCTTCCATCTACTGTCCCATCTAAACTTTTTTAAAGCCCCTCAAATAGACTTCTGGGGGAGGGAATTAAAATTCTGCATTTGCTCCTATAAGGTATGAACCAGGCTATATACTTAGGATAACCCCTTTATTTGAAGCAATATCAAAGAAACACCATTTTCTACATGGACCCAAGAAGTGGAATTGATCATTTCCACTGCTTCTTTCCATCCCCACTCCCATTTAATCTAACCTGACTTGTCTAAATGATCCTCTGCTCCTCCTCTTTAATATTATCTACCTCCCACACACTTACAGGCTTTTTAAAAATTTACTCCTTTTATCAAAACTATGAGGCAAATGTCTTCATCTTATAAATGTGGAAATCGGATATCAGAGAGATTAAATAATCTGTCCATAACTAAAAAATAGAGAGCTCAAAGTCAAACACCAATCTACCTCTTAATGTACTAGATCTAACACAACCTGATACTTAGAGGATACAAAAGTATAGGAACCCAAGGCTCTTGTACCTAAAGACTACTTTAAGAGTAACTATCACAGCTGTCACCAAGGACACCACATACATGAGACAGGCAGATGCAGATGCCTGAGCCACTGCCACCCCCACAAGTTAATCCCTCTGCTGCCAAGGATACCACAGACATGAGGGAGGGAGTTGCAGCTGCTGGTGCCACTACTGCCACCATGTGGTAACCTTGCTGCCCCAAGTACACAACAGACACAAGGGAAGCTGATGCAGCCACCAGCGCCAATGCCATCCCCACGAGGTAACCCCTCTGCTGTTGCAAAGGGAGGAACACACAAGGGAGGCAATTGCAGCCACTGGCACCACTGCTGTTGTCACAAGATAACCCCACTGCAACCGAGGACACCATAGACATGAGGGAGGCTGTTGCAACCACTAGTACCACTACCACCCCCATGAGGAAACTCTGCTGCCACTGCAGACACCTCACACACACGAGGGAGCCATGTGCAGCTGCTGGCACTGCTGTTGCCCCCACAAGGTAACCCCACTGCCACTGCAGACACCAAAGCTGCACAGGCTGCTGCAGCAAATACCATAACTGTGTGGTCTGTCATGGAAGACACTGCAGAAAAGCAGGCAGCACTGCTGCAGTCACTGCCACCACCAGCACTACCAGGCAGCTACCATAGTCACGCAAGTATCTTGCCACTGCTGGAGCCATTGCTACCACATATGCAGCCTCCAAAGTCACTGCCACAGCTACAACACCAAAAGAGCAGCTTGCTATCACAGCAGCAGCTGCAGCAGCCACTGCCACTGTGCAGGAAGATCACCAATCATTTGATCACACTGACACAAGGAGAGTCACCAGCAGAGTCCAGGGAAGGAGAGTAATAGAAAAAGCAACTGCTCAACCAGATGACCAGACATCAATGTAGAGATAGTAGAAATATGAAAAAACAAGAAAATATGAGTCCACTGAAGGAATATAATAACTCTCAAGTACCAGACCCCATAGAGCAGAAAACCCTTGAAATGACTAAAAAGGTATTCTGAATAAAAATCTTAAGGAAACTCAATGAGACACAAGAAGACACAGTTAGATGACACAATGAACTGAGCAGAACTATCCAGGATATGAAGGAAGAAATTAGGAAAGAGATTAATACTTTAAGAAAGAATGTAGCAGAACCTATGGAACTGAAGGAGTCTTTCAACAAAATAAAAAACACAACTGAGAACTTAAGCAGCAGGCTAGATCAAGTGGAAGAAAGAATTTCTGATCTTGAAGACACTATCTTTGAATTAATACTTTAAGAAAGAATGTAGCAGAACCTATGGAACTGAAGGAGTCTTTCAACAAAATAAAAAACACAACTGAGAGCTTAAGCAGCAGGCTAGATCAAGTGGAAGAAAGAATTTCTGATCTTGAAGACACTATCTTTGAAAAAAAAAATCTTGGACAAAAAAAGAAAAGAATTTTCTTAAATGAAAGAAATCTAAGAGAGATACCAGACAAACTTAACTGCACAAACATCCAAATCATGGGTGTTCCTGAAGGGGAGGACAAAGGAAAGGCATTAAAAACTTATTCAATGAAAGAATAGGGGAAAACTTCTCAGGTATAGGGAAAGATATGGACCTTCAGATTCAGGAGGCTCAAAGATCCCCAAACAGAATCAATCCAAAAAGGACCTCTCTGAGACACATTATAGTCACACTGGCAAAACTCAAAACAGAATCCTAAAAACAACAAGAGAAAAGTATCATGTCCCCATCAGACTCACAGCAAACTTTTCAAAAAAACTCTACCGGCCAGAAGAGAATGGGATGATATATTCAAAATAATAAAAGAAAAAAATGCCAGCCAATAATGCTAAACTCAGCAAAGCTATCCTTCAGAAATGAAGAAGAAATAGTGTGTTTCTTAGATAAACAAAAATTATAAGAGTTCACCATGACATGACCAGCCTTATAAGAAATCTTCAAGGGAGTCCTACATCTGGAATCCAAAAAAAAAAATAATCACTACTGTGAATACATAAGAAAGAAAAAATCCACTGGTAGAACAAAAATTTAAACAAGAAAGAAAAAGAAACAGTATTTTAACACCTCCAAAAACCAACACAAAAGAAAAACAATAAAAGGGAAAGAAAGAAAAAAAAGATATTTAAAAATCCAAATGAATATCAATAAAATGCCAGGAGTAAGGTGATACCTTTCAGTAATAAACCAAAATGTAAGCGGATTAAATTCCCCATTCAAAAAGAAAGATTTGCTGATCGAATTACAAAGCTAGACTCAACTATATGCTGTCTATGAGAGACTCGCCTCACCTGTAAAGGCACACTCAGACAGAGTGAAGAGACAAAAAAAGATATACCATGTGAATGAAAATCAAAAATGAGCAGAAGTAGCTATTATTTCAATCAAAAACTATAAAAAAAGATAAAAAGGGCCACTAGATAATGATAAAGTGATCTATTCAGCAAGAAGACATACCAATCATAAATTTATATGCACCAAACATCACAAAACTCTGATATATAAAGCAAACACTATTAGGCCTAAAGAAAGAGATAGACTCAAATGCGATAATAGTTGGGGACCTGGACATGCCTCTCTCAACACTGGACAGATCATCTAGGCAACAAATCAACAAACACATACAGGATTTAAATTGCACTTTAGACCAACTAGACTTGGCAGATATCTACAGAACATTTCATCCAACAACTACAGAATATACATTTGTCTCATTAGCACATGGAACCTCCTCCAGGACAGATCACATGTTAGGTCACAGATCAAGTCTCAAGAAATTTTTAAAAACTGAAATCATTTCAAGTATTTTTTCAGACCACAATGGATTAAAACTAGATATCACAAGTGAAACTCGAAACTGCACAAAACATGGAAATTAAAAAACATGCTCCTGAACAACATATGGGTCCAAGAAGAAATTTAATAGGATATCAAAACATTTCTCAAAACTGATGAAAATAAAGACACATCATATCACAACTTGTGGGAAAGTGCAAAAGAGGGAAGTTTATTGCAATAAATACTTAAATCAAAGGAATAGAAACATTTCAAATGAACAACGTAATGCTATACCTCAAAGAACTAGAAAAACAAGAAAAATCCAAACAAAAATTAGTAGACTGAAAGAGATAATTAAGGTCAGAGCAGAACTAAATGAAAGAGAAACCAAAAAAATGATACAAAATGTCAACGAAACAAAAGGTTGTTTTTTTGAGAAGATAAACAAAACAGACAAACCATTAGCTAGGCCAGCATAAAAAGGAAAAGAGAATACCATAATAACAAAAATCAAAAACAAAAAAGGAGAAATTACAACCAATACCACAGAAATGCAAAGAATCATTAGAGACTATTATAAACAACTAAATGCCAACAAATTAGAAAACCTGGAAGAAAAGGATACATTTCTGGATACATACAAACTACCAAGAGTGAACCACGAAGACATGGAAAACCTGAACAGATCAATAACAAGCAACAAGATTGAAGCAGTAATCAGCAGTTTCCCAACAAAGAAAAACCCAGGACTTTATTGTCATATTCTACCAAACCTGTAAAGAGGAATTAAGGCCAATTCTCTTCAAAAAAGTGAACTAGAGGCCATTCTCCCAGACTCATTCTTTGATGCCAGCATCACCCTGATACCAAAACCAGGCAAAGGTACAACAAAAAAAGTAAACTATAGGCCAATATCTTTGATGAACACAGATGCAAAAATCCTCAACAAAATATTAGCAAATACAATACAGCAACACATCAAAAAAATTATACACCATGATCAAGCGGGATCTATCCCATAGATGCAAGGATGGTTCAACATATGCAGGTCAATAAATGTGATACACGAAAAATACAATACAGCAACACATCAAAAAAATTATACACCATGATCAAGCTGGATCTATCCCATAGATGCAAGGATGGTTCAACATATGCAGGTCAATAAATGTGATACACGACATCAACAAAATCAAGAACAAAACGCACATAATTATGTCAACATGCAGAAAAAGCATTTAACAAAATTCAACATCCCTTCATAATACAGACTCTCAGAAAGTTACATATAGGAGGAAAGTATCTCAACACAACAAAACCCATATATGACAAACCCACAACCAATATCATCCTGAAGGGGGAAAAGCTGAAAGCCTTTCCTTTAAGAACAGGAACAACACAAGGATGCCCACTTTCATCACTCCTATTTAACACAGTGTTGGGAGTACTAGCCAGAGAAATCAGACAAGAGAAAGAAATAAATGGCATCCAGATTGGAAAAATGAAATCAAACTGTCTCTGTTTGCAGATGACATGATCTTATATGTAGAAAACCTAAAGACTCTACCAAGAAGCTCTTAGAGCTGATAGACAAATTCAGTAAAGTTGCAGGATACAAAATCAACACCCAAAAATCAGTAGCATTTTTATACTCCAACAACAAACTACGAGAAAAAGAAATCAAGAAAGCTAGCACATTTACAAAAGTCACCCAAAACATAAAATACATAGGAATCAATTTAACTAAGGAGGAGAAAGATCTCTACAAGAAGAACTACAAAGCACTGGTGAACGAAATTTAAAAGGACACAAAAAGATGGAAAGACATTCCATGCTTTTGGATTGGAAGAATTAACACTGTGAAAATGCCCATACCACGCAAAGCAACCTACAGATTCAATGCAATTTCCATCAAAATACCAACACTATTCTTCACAGAAATAGAAAAATCGATCCTAACATTCATATGAAACAACACAAGACACCAAATAGCCAAAGTAATCCTGAGCAAATCAAAGAAAGACAGAGGCATATCACTACCTGACTTCAAATTACACTACAAAACTACAGTAACCAAAACAGCACGGTACTGGCATCAAAACAGACACTCCAACCAATGGGACAGAACTGAGAACCCAGAAGTCAACCCACATACCTACAGCCAACTGATCTTTGACAAAGGCACCAAGTACATGCATTGGGGAATAGACTGTCTCTTCAATAAATGGTGCTAAGAAAAGTGGACATCCATAAGTAGAAGAATGAAACTAGACTTTGTACCTGTCACAATATACCACTAAAGACTTAAAAATAATACCTGAAACTATAAAACTCCTAAAAGAAAACAAAGGGAAAATACTTCAGAAAGTAGGACTGGGCAACAGCTTTATGAATAAGACCCTAAAAGCACAGTCAACAACATAAAAAAGAAACCAGTGGGATTATATCAAACTAAAAAGATTATGC